GCTCGCCAGCCATTTCTGCTCACGCTCAGAGATCCGTAGAAATCGACGAGGTTGATTCAGGGAGACGCTGCATTTCCAGAAAATGCGCGATAATAGTATGTTCGCAATCGGAGAGTTCTAAAGAGCGAGTGAAAGATTCATTGTGCACACAATCGCAGTTCATACATCTGCCCCGTCAAGAAAGACTCCCGAGATTTCAACGCTTGTAGTCGAAACATCTCTTTTTCGATCGCACAAAGCCTTACGTAAGGGATCCAGCGGCGAAAAGAAAGTGGCCGGGTCTCTTCGCGAATTCCAGCACAACATCAGCTGAAGCCCAAAGTTGGCCAATCTGCTGCATCTGCTAATAAAGGCGAACAAAAAGTCCCCCGCTGTTTAGACGCACTATTTACAAGGTTAGCAAAAAACCTTAGATCGATAGCGCCGCGGTCTCGCTGTCAAAACGGCGATTCGCGCGAATAATGTTAACAAGTGCTAATTTAGAAGCTCGACGCGGCGTAACGTTAGTTTTCGCTCGATCTCCGTCTCCATTATCTGACTTTATCTGGTCAACATGAACGTCCTACCTGATATATCCGGCAGATCGCGATGTTCCTGCGGTTAAATTAGTAATCCATTGGAGAATAGCGGGAAACCATCGACGGAAACGTCGTCCGAAAATGTAGGAAAGGTGTCGGGATGCGAATCCGACAAAATCGCTCCGCAATCGCATTCGTTTTCTGTGGTAATCGTCTCTCGGCTTCTGAAACGGACTGAAGGATACACAAACCAGGGTTGCCAGGTTTTCACAACAAAACCCGCCCAGTTGATACTCAAAACTAGCCTAATGGCGTTTCGGGGGTTACAACGGTTCAAATCGCATTCTGGGGCGGGTAAAATAGCTACACGTTTTTGGCGGGGTTCCTCTGGTAAAAGTCGCATTCCAGTGTCTAAATACCACGTTATTGGGGTCGCTTCAACCCGCGAACATAAAAAACGACCCGCGGCAACAGTGTTAAAGTATCAGTGTTAAAACCGCGGACCTGGCAACACTGACACAAACCGCCCCGTCCGTTTTCTATTGGAAGTTCAAATCGGAACAAACCGTCTCGGCGTTCGTTTAATCGCAAAGACACATGGGACTTGTATGTTTTGAATGTGAGTCCCGCGTTATGCCGTCACTGGGACAATGGAACACACAGTGACGACGTGAACTACACTTCCCATAGTTCAATAGTGAGTGGCGAAATATCGCCAGGCTCCGCCCACTTTCACGCGCCTGCTGATCATCAGATGATGAAAAATCTAAATGTTTATTTGAATAAAAGAAATAAACAATCACCCAGTCCTTATTTAATGTTTAGCTATTTTCCCGAGGCAGTAAAACGCAGCGTCATTTGTTGTCCTTGAAATAACTGAGACTTGCATGATTTTTAAAATGACATTCACGAAAATGTAATAACAACAACAACATTCAGTGTAATTTAACATTGCATCCGCACAACATACTTTGTATTTTCTTCTAACACAGTGGTGAAGAAAAGGTCCCCAGATATCAAACTCCTCATCTTACATGGGTATTGATATATTTTCTTTTACAACTGCTGAATTTTTAATTTTATTTTTTTAAACTAGTTTTATCTTGCATTTCAACATTAACAGAACAATACAGGCTAACATAACTGAGACATTCATATTAATCAAACTATAACAGAGAAACATAATGCATTACAAGAAATTAATCAAAATAAAATAAAATGCATTCATACAACCAAACAATGTACAAAATCACACTGATTAAACAAATCAAATAATTTCTTGGCCTTATCACTTCTCATAAATTTTAAGACCCCCTTTTTAAAGACATTAAACTGGGGTGCTGTTTTCAAAACAGTATTTTAAAATGAGAAGTAAACAATTTACAACAAAGTCTACACTTTTGTCCTCCAAATTTACTCCAATTTTCACCATGTCCCAAGTAATCGATGGAAAAATAGATATTCTTTGTTTTATCCAATTACATACTTCAGTCCAAAATGAATTAACCAAATCATGATAACAGAATTGACAAATGTTACAATCCACATTAAATCTTAATCTCAGAAATTCCTTCGCAAGATAAATATCATCATTTTAAAATGCACTTCTTTACATTTTGGTGGAAGAGGACATCTGCTGAAAATTAAACCGCGTTGAATTTATTTTTTTTAATTATATACATTCGGTGTATCCTAACCCACTCATTCTACTCAATTAGCCTCTAACTTGAGGAATACATAATTAAAAAATATATAATATTAAATACATATGAAATATTTAGTAAAATATTTTATATTAATATATTTTAATTATATACACACACATTCTTGTAGTTACATATATATTTTACTAAATATTATTAAAGTATAATATTCAAATATATTCATATAAAAAAATTTTTGTGCATAACAAGAACAGTAGAGGATCACAGTGTTTTCAACTATTATCAATTGCATTCATAATAGCATCATAGGGGATAACTTACCAGAAATTTTCATAAGAAAATGATTTAAAAATTCTATACATCCTTTTTGCTTTTTTATTTCTTAGCTTCAATGTAATACTTACGTTCTCATGTAATGTTAGGTTTATTATTAGTCCATTTTTGTTTGTGTATATGGCATTTCCCATGCATAATTATTAAAATAATCACCAAATTTTGCTCCAAACTCTTATTTTTATGTAACAAAAAAGATATCTTTACCAGAGAATCCAGTCTTTAATTTTATACATTTAAATATTAGATATTCAATATCAATCCAAAACATTTGGGTGAATACCCAATCATAAAATAAGTGTTTATATGTTATATAACTTTATATGTAACATCTTTAATTTTATTGGTGAGACAGTATTTACTGGGTCAATTCCAGACCTCTTTCCATTCAATCTGATCATATAACGAATTCCAAAAAGGGTTGCATTTAGGCAATAATGTGGTTCTACATAATTTTTTTATATAAACGTTAATTTTCACACCATTAATACTTAACTGATTAGTTTATAAGGGGACAAACTCAAAAGATATATTGCCAAACAAAATATATCTTTCAAAATATATAAAAAGGGTGGAGCCTTTCTTCAGGCTCCACCCACTTTCCGCGCCTGCGCACTGTGGACTCCATGGCGTATTTAAGCGCGAGCAGCAGGGATGAGTGAGCTTCCTGTCCAACCCAGACGTGACAGATCAACTGAAGGCTCTCTGGCGCGTCTTAAAAATCTATTTTACATTCATTTAACGGGTTATTACAGTAATAAGGATGATGATTCGCCGTTTTGATCGCATTTTTAATGAGCTGTGAATCGAAGTGGAGTTAAATTGTCGTCTTTGGCTAACCGGCTAATGCTAGC